CGAATGACTTTTTCTGGGTCGCTATTACGAAGGCTTTCGGATAGTTTTCGAGAGATGCGTACGAATTCTCTGATGAATTGTCAAATTCGATACTTTTGACAATTTGTCAGAAATTCGAAAGAAATGTAATTCAATTAAATGATCCTTGGTGTATTTAAAGTTTTGCATTTCTTCAACTACGTCCTCAACTACGTGTGTATCGTAAAAGATAAAAGATTATACATAATTCGCAAGTTATTTACGAAGTGTAATTGTACACGCCTAAGTTGTTAAATATATTGAAGTGCATCATGGAAGCGAGGAGTGTTTCAAGACATGCGTATTTTATTTTTTATGCGATTATTTATTATTATGCTCCCGGGTGCCATACCCAGTTTTATTTATTAAATGTGATTAAAAATAAGTCATGTATAAATACTGTACAAAATGAAATGCTTCGATCACACTACCTCGAAGTTTCACTGTATATCATTGTTCTGTTCATAATAAACGATGTAAAAAGAGCATATTGATATCTCTATCCAATCCACGTCCACTTAAATATCAATTATTATTCTGATATGATAGCAGAAGTATTTATTATAAGAAGTGTCCAGCAATTTTAATAATCGGAACAATGTCGTCTACATTCAGACTGTTTAAAATAATGATGTCATGAACAATATAGGTAAGTATCAATAGGAGATTGACCTAGCTTCTTGATTCTTATGGTAATCGACGTAACAAATAGCACAGCTTAATTCACTCTATTCTTACGCAAACACGATCGATGTTACACTATAAAATCACTTTCTACCTAGTTTCCATCGATCTCTCATTATTCTGTCTTCATAAGCTGTTCTTACTTTCATCTATTCTCTTCTCACGGACGATTTGTCTGAGCAATTTCACTTTGCCATCGTTAGTTTTCCACCGTTCGAGCATTTACCTGTTCTCTTCGAGCGTCATCGTTGGGTTTAAATCACCTAAATGATTCGCGTTAATGAAGAATCTCTCTCGACACGGTGATCACCGGAAGCGGTGTATGTCGCAACCAAAATCGTTCCGAGGACGAAACACGGAGTCGTGAAAACATCGGCACCCTAGATAATGAGGCTTTCTTCTTTCCTTTCAGCCGGGCACACGTTCTCTGATCAAAATTCATCGTCCGTACGTGGCTTCCATCGGCTATAAAACCGCGTTGTCTTCGTTCGCACTGGCATTCGGTGGTTAGCCTCGCAAATCGGTGGGTATTCGTCATGAAGTTCACTATCATCGTGTCCGTGGCCCTTCTGGGCGCTCTCGCAGTCGCGGAAAGGCCGACGGAGACCACGGCCGAGGCACTGCGAAACATTTACCACAAGTAAGCATCGAATTTTTCTTTAAACTCTTTTTAAAAACGAACTAATTACTATGATAAGGAAATCAGAATTAAATATCGCTTCTAATTTTTACAGGTGCATAAACAACGAGTCGATGTTGTCGTGCGTAAAGCCCAAAGTTCTCGCATACCTCAGCCAAGCCGTGAAGCAAGACAGGCTGGCGATCACGGAAGACCTGGCAATAGTCAAGTCCAGAAACTTCCCTGAGGAAAATACCGAAGAATACTACCCATCGCAATACGATTCCGTGGACCCCGCCCGGAAGGAGCTTCTGAGGTCCCTGATGCTTGAAAAACTGGACGCGTATCTCTCCAGCCATCAGATAGAGGCTAAGTTACCTGAAGCCATCGTCGGTTCCAACATCGTTCCACGATCGTTGGTGGACAGCATGCCTAGAAGTTTGACTGTCCCTCTTTCCGACTCCTCGAACGGTCAAGGTAACAAAATCTCATCCGCGATAGGAAAATAATAAAACGTATTTGTTCATTTATTTATTTATTTATTTACGATTTACTTATAATTGTTTTATTTTTATTCACAGGCCGTGGATTCGTGAAGAAGGTGATGATACCCTTCTTGTTGGGTCTCAAGTTCAAGGCTACCGCCCTTGTACCCCTTGCCCTTGCCCTGATCGCTCTGAAGACGTGGAAGGCTCTCACCCTGGGTCTCCTCTCGATGGTGCTCAGCGGCGCGATGATGATTTTCAAGCTGACGAAGCCTAAAGTCGCGTACGAAGTCGTCCACTACGGACACCCCCCCGTGGAGCACCCGCCTCATTGGGACACGGCAGCTCATGGTCCCTACAGGGCGTACAGGAAATAGGCTGACCTACGCGCGTTCGACTTTCCTATCCTAGATCGTTTTTATTTAATATTTATTTACACGCGACTCTGATTTATTTATAAATAAAGTTTCTTACAAATGGTCTCATCGAACTTCTGTCTACGATCCGTCACTTTCACCCTAACCACTACGATACAAA